GTGCTCCCTGTAACATACATTGAGTCCGCAACGCTCTCCCAAGCGTCGCAAAGCCACGCGTGCTCCAGGCTGGACGAAGACGAGGACGAAGACGACGACCTCCGGACCTCCTGAAAACCCAGACCCCCTGCGCTGCAATCCGTTCCCGCGAGCTTTGACCACCTCTGGGGAGAGCGTAGGAGCCCTGCGGCCCACTCCGTCTGAGGCGGGGACGCAGGACGCCTCGACCCTGGATCACACATGCCCGTCCGTCGGCGAGGCCCACCCTCCAGATCGGCCATCCCAGACAGCCCCGAGTCGTCGCCGCCGCCGCCCTGGCCCAGCAGCACCGAGGTTCGAAGATCGATGCCCGGGGGCGCTGTTGTCCGCCTCTCGGGCCCTCTCGTGGCCCTCTCGCGGCCACGGCTGAGCTCCGCCCCGCGACTCTGCTCGGCCCGCGCTTCGGGACAGACCGCTTCGAGAATCTGAGTCCGAACGCGCCCTGCTCCTCCTCCTCCTCCTCCTCCTCCTCCTCCTCCTCCTCCTCCTCCTCCTCCTCCTCCATCCTCCTCCTCCTCCATCCGCGTCGTCATCGCCGTCGGCGTCGTCGCCGAGGGAGGGGAGGGCGAGATAGGGTGGGAGGGTATGGGGACCCAGACCTGCTGCGTCACCAGATCTTTCAGACGGCCGCGTTTCCCAGCCGTTCGGCCCTCGCTTCCCAGGGCGGTCTAAATATTGCCTTGCATGATATTGCCTTGCATGAAAAGCCTGGCCTGGTGAAGGTGCCTGGGACGCACATCGCCGAAAAAAACTGACGTCGGGGGACTGGAGACGGGAAGGACTGGGGAGGGCGGAAAGGCGGGCGAGGCAGCGGAGGGCAGGGGAGGGGGAGGGGGCTGGTCCAGGCCATGCTGCGACGGCGGGAGTTTCTGCGGAGCTTCGGGGGAGACGCGGAGGCCATAGCGGAGTTCGCCCCACCGGATCCGCTGCTGTCTGTGGCGCTCTATTTCTGCCGGCGCATGCGGAGCGTGCAGTGGATCGATGCCGAGAGTGAGGCGATGGCGGTGGCCGGCATCGTGTCTGCGAAGCAGACGGGCCTCACGCTGGGCGGCGTGCGCGAGGTGGGGGATCCACCCGTCAAGAAAATTGGGAAAATTCGGGTAAGCATCAAACACACCAGGGAGCAAGCACCCCAACACAGAAAGGAGACTGGCCAGGGCGTAGTGTGGTCGTATGAATTAGCCTGGACTTCAGATTCATGGTTCGGCGCCGTTGTCTTTTGAATCGCGCGTCGTAGCTCTGGGAGTACTGTTTGGGACGTGGGGCTTACCACCTACGTAGCGGGCAAGGCTCAGTGCCGAGCGCCCAGTGGTACTAGCATAGTGGTTTGGACTGTGTGCTTTCGTATCGCGCAAGACTTCAAACCACGCGGCATTGGGCTAACAAACTTGGTTTTACGGCCATGCGCGTCATACGAGCAGGGGGAAGATGAGGACAGCTGGAGGAGGAAGGAGCAGGATTGGCGAGAGGGGGCGGGTCACCGGCAAGAAGGGGGAGGGGGTTCGGGTCACCCAGTGTTTTCTTGACCTATGTTTTTTGCCTCCTGACGCCTCTGGGCGCCTCCGCAGGTTTCCAGAGGCCTCCAGATATGGAGAGGTATCTGGGGACCTCCGAAGACTTCGGAGATGTGGCATGCTTTTGTGGCAGGAGGGCCACTTTAGTCCGTATTGATTTTCACCAGATTCCGCCCAGCTTTTCATCAAGCTTCGCCTTACTGTGTTTGTTGTTTGCTCTTGTGGCACTCGAGTGTTTTTGTTTTGCCGTGTTCCACTGCCCTTGTTTTTGTTTCTGCTGTTTTTTTTCCTATTAGGTGATCGAGTTTTACGAGGGCGTTGTTTCGGACGAGCACATGTCTCTCATGGTCTTGCGCGAGAAGCTTGACGGAATGATCGTAGAGGTGACCGAGGCGTTGCAAGACCGCGTCGCAGTTCTGGACACTCCGGCAGAGGTCCAGGCTGCCATCGATTCTTGCCGAAGTGAGTCGCAGATTCCGCCCTGCTTCGAGTCGCGCATCTTCGGCGGCCCCCTCGTGCGCCTGCGCGAGGTCGTCGAGAGGGCGGAGCGCGAGCTGCGGCTGCAGCTGGCGCAGTGCACCTCCGTGCCGGAGTACGACAAGGTTGACGAACGGCTGGAGCCCATGTTCGGCGCCGTGCACACGCCGGTCCGCGCCGAGATCGACCTCGCGCGCACGCGGCGCACGCAGTTCCTGGAGATGGAGCTGGAGACACGGTGGTCGCGGCCGTTTGCCGGGCCACTGCCGCCGCACTCGCGGGCGGCGCGGCAGTACCAGCTGGAGCTCGGGAAGGACAATCCGAAGGTCGGCTGGCCCGTCATTGGGGGGGGGATGGCAAGGTCGTCTCTTGCTGTTCTGTGGTTTGTGCTCCTCTTGTAACATAGAGGTGGTCGTTTTGTTGGGCTTTGGAGTCTCTCGTGCGATTGCTGTGGGGGCCCTCGCCAGCACCGTGATTTACCGTATAACGTGCTTGGGGGGTACACCAACCTTGTTGCCATTTTTCAAACACGAAATCATGACTGTCAGGATGTGTGTGTGTGTGTGTGTCGAGAGCCAAGCACTACGGTACCACTGGTTCCCACTTAGGCGGTCCTCGAAAGGTGTTTCTGAGAAGGCGCGCCCACCCTCTCAGGGCAACTGCACAGTGTAAAGCATTATTTTTCTCACTATCCCAAGCCTCCACGGGAAATGTTACTTTGTAGGGAGGTTGGAGGTATAAAGGCCTCTTTGAAGTAGCGCCTCTAAGAAATCGTAGTTCCCCCTGGTATCGTGCGTGACGTGCGCGCGAAGCAGTGCGAAGCTGTGTGCCAGTTCCCCAGGTCGCCTGGATGGATGGGAGAAAAGGCCCTCCCCCCGGCTGCTGCTATGGCAAGCGGCGGGCGTGGTGTCCCCGCCAGTGTTTCGGCGATGTCTCCATGGTTCTAGGCCTCCTAGATGGGATCGGAGTGGATGGGGTCGGGGATCGCGCCGCATCGCCGATGCATCGCCGATGCGGCTCGATGTGGAGCCCGATTCGCTTCACGTCGACGTCGCCCATGCATCGCCCAGGTCGAAGATGCATCGCCGTTGCATCGCCGCTGCATCGCCGATGCATCAATGATGTATCGGCAATGCGGCGCGATCCTTCGACCCCATCTAGGAGGCCTCTAATGGTGTCCCAATGGTAACCCGCCGGCTTGCTGACGGAGGGGCGATGGCCGCGGTGACTCGCCAGCGCCCTGGCTTTCAAGGACAACCCTCCTCCTCCCCCTCCTCCTCCTCCTCCGTAGCCATCTTGGCTCAAGCCATTTTGGCTCAAGTCAGGCTCCGTCTCGCCCGCGCGGGCGCCGCCACGTCGCTGCCGCCCTGGTGAGAGGTGCTTCTTGGTTGCGAACTGCCTCGTGCGGTCCTCCCCTTCATGCCTGCAGGATGGTTCATCGCCACTCTACGGATAAACTTCGTGATCGGCGACAGCGTGCTGCTCGTGTGGGTCACCTCGTTCCACGACCTGCTCCTGGCCGCTGCTGGCCGAGCGTGCCGTTCGCACTGCGGGACGACGCTGCCAGGGTCAGCACATCGATGGAGCTGCACGCCGTGCAGTGCCGGTGGGGCCCCTCACCACGCTGCGCGTGCGGCCGCGCTGGCGATCCGCTCCGAGCTGAGGAAGGCCGTGCACGACCACTCCCCAGAGGGCCCACAAGCACCCCAACGCTGCCAAGCACAACGTGGGCAGTAAGGCTCTCGCGGCCGCGAGCCGCGTCCCTCTCGCTGTCCGTGATCCTCTTTGCCAGCATGGTCCCTGGGCCGGAGGTGCTGCCGCTGGGCGCGATCGCACCGCCCCTGCCTCGGGCTGGGATGCTGGCAGCGGGGCCCGGCAAGGACACGCTCGGTCCGCTGCGGACGCCGCCGCCCCCGCGCAGGCCGGCCTGGGCGTGCTCGTGCCGCCCCCCTCGCCGTGTGCCGACGCGGCAGGGCTCGTTCCTCCCGCTGCCGTGGCCCCTGCTGGCTCGTGGCCCGCCGCCCCGTGTGGCGGTTCGGAAGCGACGTCTGCGCAGCTTGGGTTTGCCCTCAGTCTGCTCGCGGCTCAGAGCAGCACCGTTGCCCAGCTGCGAGGTGCGCTCGAGATGGGTGTGCGCCCGCGCGGTCCCCCTCGGCCTGCTCACGATGGCGTCACCGACCCCGTCTCGAATTGTGACGGGGCCGTCGCGAAGCTTCATGCGGAGGTCGCATCCCTGGTCGTGGACAAGATGGTCTGCTACCGCCGCGAGGTCGAGTCCATCGCTTCGCAATGTGTCACGAGCGCTGTGCGCACGTCTTCGAGCGGGATCCTGCAGCGCGTCGACGACGTGAAGAATGCTGTGGCTGCGTCGTGTGTTGCCTCTGCCTCGCCGTCGCGCTCGGGGCTGCATTCGCCACGCCCGTGTTCGCCTGCGCCGACTGTCGCCGCCTCGCGTGGTGCCGCATCCTGCGGTCGGGCTCACGCTCCTCTTGCTTGGTGCTGAGCTTTGTCCTGCGTGCGGGGGCCCGGCCAGGCTCGTCGATCCCGAGATCATGCCGTGCTTCTGCCATGGCGCCCCTGCTGGCTTCGACGACGATGATGTGGACTCGTGCTGGTCGAAGTGATGTTCGTCTGGGAGGGCCTCCCTGCGTCGCTCTTCCTTGCGCTGCCCTGGGCCTGTATTGTCCTCTTCCTCGCGCGCCGCCTCCCGGTATTCGTCGCTATTCATGGGGCTTCCGCCTGCCGTGCTTCGGTTCGGTCTGTTTTGTTCACTTCGTGAGTGGCGGATCAGAGTAGATTGCAGATGACAGGATGTTTCTTTTACGGTCGTCTCCTCCTCTTCCTCCTCCTCCTTCTCCTCCTCCTTCTCCTCCTCCTTCTCCTCCTCCTTCTCCTCCTCCTTCTCCTCCTCCGCCCCCTCCCCTTCCGCGACGTTGCGAGACCTCATCCACGGAGCGAGCGCACTTTCAGGGGCAGCGATACAGTGGAAGCCCATGCCAAGAGACACCCTGCTGGCCTCCCCGGGTTTCTTGGGCTTCGATGGTTGTGCGATAGGAAGCGCGAAGCTCCCACACCAAGAATCAATCCACGTCATGGGGTCTCATGGTTGGGTTCCTCGTGGAAGGCTTCTTGTGGTCGAGCTCCTACTGTAGGGCCCGCCCGACTCGACCGACCGCCCGTCCTGAAGGGTCCACCCGCCCGACCCGACCAGCCGCCCGAGCTCGGGTCCGCCCGCCCGCCCAACCTGACTGACCTCTGGGCCCTTTGGGCCCGGCCGACCCGACCGTTAACGTCAGAAGCAGAGCCCGCCCGACCGGGCCGACCGCCCGAGCCGGGCCCACCCGCCCAGCCCGGCGGCTCACCCGGCGCAGGGTCCTGCCGCCCGCCCGCGAGGGTGCCCACCAGACCGACCCGACCCGCCGCTCACGTTGGGATCCGCCCGCCTGGCCCGACCGACGGCCCGAGTCTCGGCGGCGAGCGAGGGGGGGGGGAAGAGGGAAAGAGAAGGCCTCCTCAGAAGGCCGCGGGGCTTCTCAGAAGCACTCGCGTCTGCTCAGAGGTTTTCTGTGTGTCTTCGGGGATGGCGGCGAGCGGGGGGGGGGAAGAGAGAAAAAGAAGGCCTTCTCAGAAGGCCGCGGGGCTTCTCAGAAGCGCTCGCGCCTCCTCAGAGGTTTTCTGTGCGTCTTCAAAAATATCTTCGAACACTTCTCAGAAGGCCCGGGGGACTCCCATGTGTGCCGCTCGGACGTGTGCATGTTTCCGGCGTGGACCATCGAGGAGCATCCTGTACCACCTTGCGAAAACTACACGCACGACGGTAGAGGGAGCAATTAGTGAACACCCTCCCTGCCCCCCAAGCTCAAAGTTGGCACGCGCGGGGGAGACTGCGGTCGAGGTGCAACTCATCAGACCCACCGCCAACTTTGAACATTGGGGGGAGGGGGAGGCGTTCACAGATGAATGTGGCATGAGTGTTCGCTATTTTTGTTCCGAGGCCTGGATCTCGAGCAAACGCACGGAGAAGGGGCGTCCGAGCGACGGCAAGTTCTCCATCATGCTGGGCGCCCGCGCCATAAAGAGAGACCCCATCAAAGGGGGGTAATTAGGGTCGAAGACGCTGCGGTCGGGTACAGTTAAGTCGGGCCTGTCCCCCTACAGGGGGACTTTCGACGAAAAATGCAAACTGCCCCAAAAATAGTCAAAAAATAGTCCAAAAATAGTCTGGGGATTACTTTTTGAGTATTTGATTGCCTTTTTGGGGTATTTTTGGGGTATCTTTTGTACAGCCTGTCAGCGGGTGCCCCGTGGAATTTGCTCGATGATCCCTGGACGTGGCTCCCGGGGAGGGAGATTCGGGACATCCGAGTCGCCATGGCTGGATTCGGCAACTCTGGATGGCTCTGGCTCTCCTTCCGCAAGGTCCGAGGCGAGATACAGTGGGGACCCATGCCAAGAAACACCCTGCTTGCCTCTAGGGTGCCCTGGGTTTCTTGGGTCTCCGTGGTTTTGCTATGGACAGAGAGACGTTCACACACATCAAAAATCCGTGGACGTCCTGGGGTCTCAGGGTTGGGTTTCTTGTGGAAGGCTTCCTGTGGTCGAGCCCCTACTGTAGCAAACGTCGGTCGTCGCTCCCGAAGGGGTCGTTGCGCCTTCCTTGGTGGTCCGAGAACCTGGCAGGGGAGGAGGAGGAGGAGGAGGAGGAGGAGGAGGAGGAGGAGGAGGAGGAGGAGGAGGAGGGGGAGGAGGAGGAGGAGGAGGAGGAGGAGGAGGAGGAGGGAGGAGGGAGGAGGAGGAGGAGGGAGGCGTGGTGTCGCTTGCTTCCGTGAGGGCCCGCGGGGATCCCCAGAGCGCCCCAGCTTGCCCCGCGGTGGCTCGTGGCTCGGATCGGCTCCCGGTGGCTCCTCCCTCCTCCTTCCTCCCTCCTCCTGCCTCCCTCCTCCTCCCTCCTCCTCCTCCTCCTCCTCCTCCTCTCCTCCTCCTCCCCTCCTCCTCCTCCTCCTCCTCCTCCTCCTCCTCCTCCTCCACAATTACTCAATATGAATATACTCTCCCTCTTCCCCTGATGGCGTCCGGGTGAAAGCCGCGCATCCTCCGCGTATTGTTTTTTTACACACAGGATGCCCGGGAAATCCCTGGAATCGACTCTCGCTGAGGCGCCGGCGTCGTTTTTTCCCAAAATGCTGCTTTCGCGCCGGCATCATTTTTTCCCAAAATGCTGCTCTCGTTGAGGCGCCGGCCTCATTTCTGCTCCCGAATCCTTCCCCTGATGGCGTCCGGGTGATAGCCGCGCATCCTCCGCGTACTGTTTTTTTACACGCAGGATGCCCGGGAAATCCCGGGAAACGACTCTCGCTGAGGCGCCGGCGTCATTTTTTCCCAAAATGCTGCTCTCGTTGAGGCGCCGGCCTCATTTCTGCTCCCGAATCGTTCCGAATCGTGCTCCCGCTGCAGCGTGGGCCTCATTTTCGGATCGGTGTTTGGCCTCCGTCGTTCAGGATGGCGTTCTCGCCCCAGCGCGGGCCTTTTCTCGCGCGCCCATCCGCCCGCCACCACCGCGCCGCACCGCCACCACCACCACCACCACCACCACCACAACCACCACCCACACCAGACCACCACCACCACCACCAGCCACCACACCACCACCACACCACACCACCACCACCACCACACACCACCACCACCACCACTACCACCACCACCACCACGACAACCACGCACACACGCACGCACGCACGCACGTGCACCACCACCCACTACGCACGCGCGCGCGGAGCCACAGGTCCGCTACGACACGCGTCCGCGGATAGAGAAAATCAGCGCCATGGTAAGGGATGGGAGGGAGGGGTAGGACGTCAGATTATGACGCGAGCGCACCTAGCTTGTCCTTCTCCCCCTCCCCCTCCTCCCCCTCCCCCTCCTCCTCCTCCTCCTCCTCCTCCTCCTCCTCCTCCTCCTCCTCCTCCTCCTCCTCCTCCTCCTTGTCTGCGGGTCGAGTGCTTTGTGCTGGCGTCGCCAGCTGCCCCCGCCCTCACTCCTTGGGTGGTCTGGGCCAGGGTCTCGAGGTCCTCTCTGGGGTCTCTCGAGCGCCCCCGTCCAGCCGCACCACCTGCGACGCCCAGCGGTCCGTGTGGGCGCACTGGGCCAGTCCACTGGGGCGGCAGCCCACTGGGAATCTTCTGCCCCGAAGGCCACGAGGGCCCACAGGAGCGCCGCGGCGCCTCGGGAATGGTAAGGGTGAATGGCGAAAGTGCCCCGAGGCCTCTTATGGTATGTCAGATTTCGGATTGGTCGTTCCTGCTGCGTCGAGGGCTGGGGAACCATATGCCGCGTGGCATGCGAACAAGTAGGAACGGTTGTAGTAGTTGTTGTTGTTGTTGTTGTTGTTGATATTGGTGCTGTTGGTGTTGGTGTTGGTGTTGGTGTTGGTGTTGGTGTTGGTGTTGTTGTTGTTGTGGTTGTTGTTACTGGTGTTGTTGTTGTTATGGTTGTTGTTGTTGGTGGTGGTGTTGTTGCTGGTGATATTGTCGTTGTTGCTGATGTTGTTGAGGTTGTTGTTGTTGTTGTTGTTGGTGGTGTTGTTGTTGGTGTTGTTGGTGTTGTTGTTGATGTTGCTGGTGCTGCTGTCGTTGTTGTTGTTGTTGTTGTTGTTGTTGTTGTTGTTGTTGTTGTTGAACATGATTAATTCTAAAGAATAATTATTGTTGGGACCCCTGGTGCACGGCCCCCCCGCCGCGCCTAGGCCGCAGCTACATTTTCATCATTTTTTCGCGAAAGCTTCAGAAAAGTGGATGGGGTCCAGATCCGGTTGTTTTGTTGTAATCCGTTTTCCCTTACCCTTGCAAAAAACACTATAAAATGACATTTCTTGTTCTAATATAATCAAATTTCAAGAATCCCTTGCAAAAAATAAGGTAAAGTGGACATTCGCGCGCGCAAGACGAAATCCTTCCAAAAGCTTAGTGTTCGGAGCGATTTTAACATAAAAACATCAAAAAACCAATGGTTTTTCAACAAAAAAATGTCAAAATCTCATCCCGCGCGCTCTTGCGGATTCGTAGGAAACCCAACACTTTTTAAACATTTCTGTCAAACGGGCTTTTGCGAGCAACTTTTTCGAACTTCTGCGACAACGGTTGCGCACCTGCCAGGGCCATCATCCCTGTCAAATAATACCATGCGGGACACATTCGTTTTTTCTTCGCGCGCGCACGCCGTCGTCGTCGGCCGCGGGGCCCTGAATAGTAGCCACGGTCGTCCGCATGCCACGAAGTGAAGTGTCCGAACGTCATAGGGCGGGAAGCTGGGTGTGGGTGGTGGCGAAGAGTCGTTTGGAAATTTGGTAGAGCTTGAACCGGCCCCCCCACAAAGTGGGGGTATTGCCCGCCTCCTATGAAAACCCTGGCACTGGTGAGAACGGAGTGTCCCCACGTGCTAGTAATTGTTGTTGTTGTTGTTGTTGTTGTTGTTGTTGTTGTTGTTGTTGTTGTTGTTGTTGTTGTTGATCGTATGCTTGGTACGGTTGAGAGTTCGTCCTCAAGATGCCCTCATAGTGGTTTAGAAGCAGTCACCGGCGGGCATACCGTGTTGTATGAGTTGACGATGGGGGGCGGCCGAAATTGACAAGTTCACGCGCACTGGCCATGATGGCCATGATGTCCGTGTGCACACCGCGAGCATAATGGCACCCGCGTGGGATGCCCTCGAAAGAATGCGTCGGGAGGCGCCCGCCAATCTTCTCAGGGCAGCTGCACATGGATAGAACCACAACGTGATCCTCACCGCCCCCTCTTTCCAAGAGCATCCGTAGCAGGTAACCCGTATGTACGATTCTCACACCTCCAATCCTCCGAGGGCCACCAGTGGATCCCAGGTGTCAGGAGGGGAAAAAACACACAGACACAATCAATCGTCGATTCCCCAGAAAATATGGGAAAATATGGGAACTGGGGGAGAAGACAAAAACCCAGAAAATATTGGAAGAGATAGGGAATCTTTTTATTTCTTTGTGTGTCCCAGGGCCCCTTCAAGGCGGTCCTCACCACTGCAGCCTCCCCAGCGCTGCTCGACTCTGCGGCAGCCCACCCGCGTTCGGCCCCGCCTGCCCGCCCGCCCCTTTTGCGAGGGTCCGCCTGCCCACCTTCGGGAGGGGGAGAAAACACACACACACACACACACACATTCACACACACACACACACAGAGACACAAGGAATCGTCGATCCCCAGGAGAGAAAGAGCGTGTTCTACCGCTGCTGGCGGAAAACCGGGGGGGTCACTACCGGTTCGAACCCCTCCCACCCCCCCCCCCCTCCCCCCCCCCCCTCCGGAAAACCGGGGGGGGTCACCACCGGTTCGAACCCTCTCCCCCCCCCCCCCCAGTTCATCATGAAAAGGTGGGGGGGGTCACTACCGGTTCGAACCCCCCCCCTCCGTCGAGCTCGAAAACCGGGGGGGTTCACTACCGGTTCGAACCTCCCCCCCCCTCTCGAAAACCGAGGGGGGTGCGGACAGTGGTGGGGACGGTGGTGGTGAGGACAGTGGTGAGGGGACAACGGGACAGTGGTGGGGACAGTGGGACAGTGGTGGGGACGGTAGTGGTGGGGACAATGGTGAGGACAATGGTGGGAACAGTGGGGACAGTGGGACAGTGGTGGGGACGGTGGTGGTGGGGACAGTGGTGTGGGGACAGTGGGAATGCGGTGGAAACAGTAGGACAGTGGAGGGTACAGTGGTGGTGGGGACAGTGGTGAAGGCGGTGGCGAGGACGGCGGTGGGACAATGGGACAGAGGTACAGTGGGGACAGTGGTGGGGACAGTGGGGACAGTGGTGGGAACAGTGGGACAGCTCAGTGGTTCGAACCGGTAGTGACCCCCCCCTTCGGTTTTCGAGGGGGGGGGGGGGTTCGAACCGGTAGTGACCCCCCCCGGTTTTCGAGTTCGAGGGGGGGGGGGGAGGGGGAGGGTTTAGGGGAGGGGGAGGGTTTGCCGGGGCAAAGGGGGGAGGGGTCCAGCAGGGGGGGGGGATTTTTCGGAGGGGGGGGGGGAACCCCGGGTTCCGGAGGAAAAGGGCGGCAATTTTCCACAGTAAAGCGGCGGTGGATCACGCTCTCTCCCAGGAGAGTATGGGAAAATATGGGAAGTGGGGGGGAAGACAAGAACCCAGAGAAAATGAGGAACTGTGGGGAATCTTGTTATTTGTGTGTATCTATTTGTGTGTCACAGGGCCCCCATCACACCTGTCTCGATACACCCGCTCGCGCGCTCATCCATGGTGGGCCCCGCTCGCCCGCAGCACCCGCCCACTCCAAGGCAGTTACCCGCCACCTTCCCGTAGCACGTAGGAAAGCAGAGTTCCAGCAAGGGGGGTCGGTATCGAGGATTTGGGCTAGACGCTTGAGAAGGGCACGCGGCAGGCAAGAACGACGGGTCCTCGACTGATCACAGGTGTGTTGTCGTTGTGCTTTTGGATGCTTTGCTTTGCTTTTTGGTGGGCTCCCACACAAGGTAGTCGATTTCGTGGCGGAGGAGCTGCGGCACGCGGCGTCGCTGGAGGCCACGTTCGAGGTACACCTGTCCACTCTCCAGGGGCGGATGCAGACTCTCTGGGAGAGGCGCCGAGAAGCCAAGGCCCGGTCCATGGTGGAGGAAATGGACGCGCAGATGTCGGAGGTGTCGGACGAGATCCAGAGGGCGATCGAGAACGCCATCCTGGACATCGGACCCCAGAACGCGAGGGTGAAGCAGCGCGCCCAGGAGCTGCTTGCCGCGGACGCGCACGCCGCCGTGTTCAGCATCCAGGAGAGCGGTGCTTTCAATTTTTCGCGACCGTGGCCGTGACCGGCCCTGGCCGCCCTCCCCCCATGGGGCACCGTCACGTTTCGTGCTGACCTCCGGGGTTTCTTGGGCTGCTCCGAGACACTCCCAGACGGCGCCGGCGCGGAACGTGACGTTGCCGGACGCCCCCCCCCTTTCTCCCCTCCCCTCCCACACTGTAGACTGCACTTCTCCGCTCCGCCTCCGGTCCCCTCGTCGACGATGCTCCTTCGGAGCTGCACCGCAGGCGGTTTGGCCCGGAGAGCCCCCGGGGGGGAGAAACGCGTCGCCTCTTCTCGTGTCGTTTGATAGTCGATCGCCGACGAGTGCGGCCGCCCGGGAATAGTAAAAAACACGCCCCAGGCGGAGCAGGCGGCCGACGAGCTCCGGGCGGAGCTGGAGGAGAACGACACGAGCCCCGAGGGCGCCGACCGCCGGCGCGGCGTCGCATCCACGTTGCTGGCGCTGCTGGACGAGCTCACCCCGGGCCACCCCACGCAGGCGGTGCTACGGGGGGAGTTTCAGCAGGAGCTCGCGGAGGCCGCTCGGGCGGCGCGGGGAGGGAGGGAGGGAGGGAGGGAGAGAGGGAGGGAGGGAGGGAGGGAGGAAGCGAGGGAGGGAAGGAGGGAGGGAGGGAGGGAGCAAGGGAGGG